CGACTATGAGTCCCCATATCCCATCGAAACCATATAGAAGAATAACTGGCCAGCACATCAACTGCCGGTACGAAGATGGGTTTTTTTTGCATAGTTTCCCGCAGGTTTTTGTCGCTAACGGTACCGGTTTTCCTGCAAATGCTTCTAACTAAGATAAATGAAACTGGCCACCATGGCTATCTGAAAAAATCCCTCTAAAATTTCAGTTTTCTAGTTTTTCCAGTTTCCCAGCTAGCAACTTATCCGCAAAAAACTTCCACGTGCCCGCACATACAAATTGCTCACACCAGGGGACTGGGTGTAAACCCATTAAGACCTACGTGGACGTGGAATATCCCCTAAAAATTCTGGTCTTCTAGCTTCTCAGGTTGACGAGTTAGCAGCTTACCCGGAAAACATTTTCACGGGCTCATACATAGGTACCACGCATGCCCAAGGGCTGGGCTTGAAGTTATTAATACCTACTCGGACCGGTAACATCCCTTTAAAATTCCAGTCTTCTAGCTTCTCAGATTTCCGAGTTAGCAAGTTACCAAAAAAAAAACTTTGGCGGACCCACACGCGGAGCACCACGCGGGTAACAGCGCCCATTTTGGAGATGGGGGCCTTACACGCATACAGATTAAGTCCTCAAGGTTTCAGCAATGTAGCTTTTAGTCTTGAGATAAATAAATAGCAACGCACACCAGACTAGTCGGTGCGATCATGCGTTCTGTGCAATTCAGCCCATCGAACGATTACGTATTAATGATTTTCACTGTTTTGTACTTTTGTCTATGCAAAAATAGTTCAAAAATTGGAAAATAGTTAAAAACTTCACGCACCAACGCATGAAAGCTGAATTTAAAATCTTGAAGGGTGAACATCTTTCCGTGATTCCCTAGTTAATAGTTTAACCCAAAATTCTCACGAGGCCGTGGGTGATACTCAAAGCGAGGGAACGCCAAATTTGAACAGGTAAGGTTGAGCGTCGGCAGAGGGTATTACCCTAAAATTTCAGCTTCCTAGACCCCGTGGTTCCCGAAATAATAATCTAGTCGTAAAAACACTTTCACTAGCCTGTAGTTGATATCCGAGAGCGCGGGAACGCCGAATTTGAACGGGCAAGGTTGAGCGTGGGCAAGGGGTCATTACACTAAAATTTCAACCTCCTAGACTCCGTGGTTCCTGAGATAATAATTTATCCGCAAAAAAATTTCACGGAGCCGTACGTGTTAGCCGCGGTACGGGAAGGCTGAATTTAAATTTGCCGCGTCAACCTTTGGCGGGGAACACTATACCAAAATTTCAGCCGTCTAGCTTTTGTTGTTTCTGAGTTGAAAGTGCGGGACAAAATGTGGGAAACACAACACAGACAACCCCGTGACAATATGCGTTTTGTAACGCTGTTACACAGCACAAAACGCATAAAAATTGGTACAGACGCACAGCACACGCACAGACACACACACAGACAACTTCTCATCAATATGAGTTTTCTGCATTATACTAATGCAGAAAACGCATAAAAAACAAAAGAATCAACAGTAACCTTATCAACCACGGCATCCGTATCTTTTTGTTTTTCGCCCGCTAATTGCTGGGCATTGCTGTTTTTGACTGGGCAATCGTAGTTCAAACTCTCTTTGCCATATTCTTCTACATGTAAATCGTGCAACAGCGCAATTACTTTTAAATCCACAGCTGATAGCGATGGATAGTCACCAGTTTTCTTCGAAACTTCTGTCACTGAAATTAGCATTCCGAACTGAAAGAGAAGTACGAAAAAGAAAACAGAGGCAACACACTATCTTGAAAAATTAATGAAAAATGGTGTAATCCACTAGCATATTATAGGAAAAAAAATGTTCACTGGAAAACCAATTCAGTTCGATTATCGAATATCAGATTCACTACCCAATGATGCAGCACTGGTCAGAACAACTATGAAAATAAAAAAGTATCAGCTGCATAAATGGAGAACAAAGCTATGGCTTCTCCAAGATGTCCTAAAAATAGACCCTAATCCTGTTTTATCGTCGTTTTTGCAAAATAATAAGAGAAATCTTGAAATCAGCCCCTCCATGAAACAAATTCGGTTTGTAATTTAAGACAATTGCTCCGGATCTACGAATAACAAAGTTTTTTGAAAAGAAATAGATCAACTAACTAATCCGAAGTGACTCAGCAGATGGTTCTCGAATGATGAGGTCAACAAGAAGATTTTCAATAAAATGACGCGTTTTCGGGCACTTCAATTCACTAACAACGCCTTCTACGGTATACACTTCATACGCCAAATCCTAAAATT